ACAAGTACCTATCATGTGCGGATTGTCTTCAAGTCATGGTAGGGGAAGTTGGAATCCAAAGATGCTTCAGGTATAGATCCACCTCAGCAGAGTTTAAAATCTCATATTAATTGTTACTTATTTGTTGCTTCTCCTTCAGACATTATGTCAGAGAAACAGGCACTGAAACTGAAAGAATTTGTGTAGCATTCAGTGTTGCTATTTATGTATGTATGTATTTATTTATTTAGGTACCAGGGATCGAACTCAGGACCTTGTGCTTGCAAGGCAGGCACGGTGCCACTGAATTAAATCCCTGGCCCTCAGTGTTGATATTTAGAAATAGCAAAATAACCAGTAGATGGACAGCAGGAAGGGAAAATCTCAAGCCTGGATGACCCATTGAGCAGGAGTATCGGAAAAAATAGAGATTTGCCTACATTTAGAGCAGGTCTGAGGTATCAGCTTAAGGAGCTAAGAAAATTAATAGAGACCTTTAATTGTAAGTTAACAAAGCCACCCAATGGTTTGTTACATAAAAGAATAATATAAGCAGCAACTTGTCTGTGGATTGATTGTGCAGGTATTTAATCAAGTGTGATTTAGATGCTGGGCGCTTTTCATTAAGTCCAGAAAAGAGGGTCGGTTTTGTTGAGGCTCTGGCTAATACTTTATTTATGGTCTTTTTGTCAAAAAAGATTTAGGACACCTGAAAGTACAGTGAGATAGCACAAACTAGAACACAAGAACAGAGGAGAAAAAGCTAGTAATAGGCCAAAATTATGGTGATTCTCAAATGTTGACTCCCTTCATATTTTCTTTGAAACAACTCTTAAATTTTCAGGATAAAATGGAGACTGATCAATGGTCAGAAAGATGAAATAATTTTTAGGAAAAGCAAGACCCCATTTGATGCTAAGAGCCGAGAAAATTTTCTCTGGACATCTTCCAAGTGAGATATTGAATGAGTTAATGTGTAATGTTCTCCATTCTCATAGTAGAAATAATTCTGAATCTTGGATGGTTTAATTGTATGTACACTGATTTGGAAGAATGTGCACCAACCTCCATTGGAAGGGCTTGTATTACCTAATGAACTTCAAATAAGCCAGTGGGGTGTAGGTAGTAGTATTGCCATATTGCAAATGAAGCAACTGAGACCCAGTGAGGCTAAGAACTTTTCCAAAGTAAGGCTGTTAATAAATGGTGGAACTGGGATCCAAACCTAGATGGTCTGGTTCAGCACCCATGGTCTTTTCCAGTAGGTTATACTGTCAATTAAATACAGTATGGTCAATTCAGTGAAAAAGAACAATACTCAGGTTCCCCTTCCCTAAATTTATGTAATCTGTGGGGAATTGGATAGGTGTGCTTTAATATGATGTCACAGATGAGGTCAGGGTGGCATATTTTTGAGATGACTTAGTTGACCTTGCTCTCTTCCAGACTTTATCCTCAACTCTAGGCCCTGCAAACTTTTTACATGAATGTGTGCACATGCCTTTGGTTCAAAAAACAATAAACAAAATAAACAAAAAAGGAACAGGAAATCCATGGCTTCCTGACTTTAAGAAGGAAGTTGAAAATCCTTTTTATGCATATCCTCAGATAGAAAATCTAAAATATAGCCATAACAAAATAGACTTTATTTTATTAGCTGTTTTAAAAAAAGTGGTATCTAGAAACATTTGTGAATGGCAACTAAATTTATTTTTCTTAACCAATCATGGAAGTTGATTGGCAGTCAGCAAGGCAAGTCTTGGAAGGAATTTAGCAGGGAAATAATAGTATCATTGAAACATTTTTAGAGGAGTCAAAATTTATAGCTTGAGTTTTAAATGGAGCATTTAGAATGATCTTTTAAGGTGTGCATTAGGCTAGGTGTGTGGTTAATGTCTTTGCTAAGAAAGCTTAGAAGGTATAATCTATAAAATGACTGTTCTATATACATACGTCTCCTTAAAAACAAATTTCCGTGGAATTTAAAAGAAATACTTAGCCTAGCTCAGTGAAGAGTCCAGTGCTCCTAAAAGATTCAATTTCTGTATTGGGACCAACATGATGACTTACTACATACACATAGACTTTTCCTGGTCACTAATTGTGATCTTTTCTTCTATATCTGAAATTCTATCCTCACATTGGTTCATTCTGCTGCCCAGACTTTGGATGGAGTTTTTAATCTCCTGGAAATCTGTTTGCATCTGTTTTATGGATTCCATTTGTTTCCTATGTGGGGATTCCATTATGTTCCTCAGATCCTCTATTTTTTTTATCTGTGTCCTCTCTAGATTTATTAATCATGTCTTGCACCATAAGCAAAATCTTTGCTGTTATCTGAGTAATTATTTCTGATTTCATTTTTCCCAGATCCTCTTTTGTTGCCAGTTCAGAGAGT